ACACCCCACCACTGTTTTGTAAGTAAGGTTTCACTGGAGCCCCTCCGGGCAGGGACGGACACCATCAGGGCCCAGAAAGCCCGAGATCCGTACTCCCTGGCCCTTTATAGAGGGGTTGCTGATCCCTGGGGTAGTGAACAGTCAAGAGCCCCTCCTGTGGTAGGAGTCTCGTGACAGTGCCAGGAAGGGGGGCTTCAGCAGCCTGGATCTCATCCTTGGATCCCATCTGGGTGTGGAATTCCAAATGTGGATGTGAAACAAAATCAGTATCAGTGATAAAGAAGCAGCCCGTGGCCTCACCTCTTGTGATCCATGCACCTTGGAACCTTCCAGATGTTCTTCTTGGCTCGTGGTCACATGGAGGTGCTGTTCTTCCTGGTTTTGCAGCGCGGCTTTGTGTTTGCCGGTGTGCATGCCTCTCCTGTGGCAGCACGTCTTTGCAGATGTCATTGTTCTCCTATGCGTTGACTTCATCCCGTGAGTTCCGTTTTGCACAGTCTCATCCTTAGTCATGTAGGCTGTTCCCGGGACTTTGGGTCAGCGATGATCGGTGCGGCTGGTGGCTTCTGTACTGATGGATCTTGGCGAGCGGGTCTCATGGTTTCCTTGAAATAAATCCTGGCATTAAACCTGCCCAATCAGCATCCATGTTTTCCATTTGGGGACGGATATCGAGACTTGGTGTAACCCCTGGAGGGTGCCTGTCAGCTGGGCCTCCCCAGCATGGACCCACCGTGATGCCTGGGCTGGGGCATCGCAGGCCTGCAGGATGGGCCTGAGTTCCCACCTGCCTGCGGCTCTGGGGCTGGTGAGCTGTCCGGGCAAGTGGGGTTCAAACCTGCCAAGTTCCTGAGGTTTCAAAGGCATCTCCCTTCGGTCTGCTCATCAGCACCTCCTGAGCACCTGGAGAAGACGGGGCTTGCAGAACACCTGATGGCTGGAGGGCACGTTGGCCAGGAGCCAGAGTCTCCTCATTGAGGAAGTGCAGGGTTGGGCTCAGGGGATCCTTCCAGGCCTGACTTCTACCAAGGGCCCACGGGCGGGCAGGGACTAACAGAGGTGCCACTCCCCCTAACTCGCCTTGCGCGTTTTCAGACCCCTTTGTAGATTCCAGCCCCGTGCAGCCAGCGAGCCAGGGACAGGAGCCTGGGAAGCAAAGCCGAAGTGCAGGATCATCTGCCCCCGCATAGTCCCAGAACAGACACTTGGAAGGTTTAGAGGCAACCAGGCCCTTTTTGGTGGTTGATCTCAAGGCCTCGTGGCCCTGGGAGCCAAGCCCAAGCACTGTCAATCCCAAGTCCTGCCAGGGTCTGGGAGCAATGGCACGTGAACCTGCAGCAGGTACAGGGCCACCAGGACACAAACCTGAGAAAGTGCTGATAAACAGTGCAAGGTGCACTCCCTCAGGTCACTCGGGCCCCTGCTTTCCTCCCACGGTTCTGTGTCACAGCATCAGGACTGCAATGGAATCTGCCCTAACACCTTCAAATACTTTTTATGTCTGAATGAGGAGACTCAGAGAAGTTAAGAAACTTGTCCAAGGTCACACAGCTACTATGTAGTGGAGCGTGGATTCAAATGCAGGTGTTCTGGCTCCAGAAACAGGCCCGTCCAGGAAAGACTGATAAACTGGTCAATTACAATCATTATTTCATGGCCAGAAGATCTACGGTAGTCCAGAAGATCTAACGTTCCCCAGTGATAGCAACGTGCTGTCACCTGTGCTCTCTGAGAGGGTGGCCATAGGTAGGTGACTGTGATACCTTTAAAATATGGATCGTACTGCCAAGAAATTGAATTGCTAATATTAGTTAATTTTAATTAATTTAAATTAAATTTAAATAGCCACGTGTTTAGCGGCTATTATATCAGCACAGATAGAGACCTGGGGTCCGGGGGATGGGGGAGCTGGGGCTCCTGAGCCCGCCTTGGGGGTGGGGCTTCCAGGGAGGCTTCGCTGGAGGAAGACCCTCAAGGTTTCAAGGGGCTTGGCCACTAGGAGGCGCTGCAGCAGCCTGGAGCATCCCAAAGGCTGAGACCACCAGGGACAGGAGAGGCTGCAGGAGCCAGTAGGAGCACCTGGGGGAGAGGAGGGCTCTGGGGGGAAGGGGAGCTGCCCACTACAATGAGGGTTAGTGCTGGGACTTTGCTTCAGGAACATGGGAGCTACGATGGTGACCGAGCAGGGGCCCTACGGGCTCCAACTGAGCTCTGGAGGTCGGATGGGAGACAATGATGTTCAAGGGGCAGAGGTGACCCTGCCCCAGCTCTTGCAGGGGTGGAGAGCTGATCTCCTCTGGATGGAACGTTCTGGAAGGAGACACCAGAGGTCTGAGAATCTGTGCCGTGTGGCAGGGGGGCATGGAAGGAGTCAGGGACACTGCCCTCAGGACACTAGGTGGTGGGGGGAGATGACCCACCATGGGTATTTCAGATCCAGGCCTTCCTCGTCCTCAGCCCTGGGGACCATCTGTGGGGGCTTCGGAGAGCTTTGCCCAGGCTCCTTCACCCGCTGACCCTGGAGGCCTGAGGATCACTCCTGGTGCCAGACGCCAAGCCTGTCCAGAGAGGGTCTCCTGGAAGGCCCTAGCAGCCCTGTGCTTCCACAGAGAGACTGAGCTCAGGTGTGTGGCCACGTGGCTGCCCACAGGGACAGTGCTGACCCAGGCCCCTCCCCCTCCCCACCCCAAGCCGAGAGCTGTCCCTGAGCCATTACTCCTGGGCACATCCCCAGGGTCAGCACAGGCCCAGCATCTAGGTTGCAGCCATCTGCAAACGGGCTGGGACAGTGGTGTGGGTCCACGGGGACAGCCCAAGCCCCTGAGTCCACGTGGACTGAGTTAGGGAGTGGCCAGCCCCACCTTGTCCCTGAGACAATAGGAAACTGGGAGCTGCTCAGATGACCGCTCTGTCCCTGGGTGCCAGGGGTAATCTGCCAAGGGCACTGGGCCTCCGAGCACGACACCTTTGAAGCAAAAAAGTGAGAGATGCCCCAGCTGGGGCCTGGCTCCCTCCTGGTGTGCCAGCAGCAGGTTCTGCCCGCAGCCAGGGACCTGGAGGGGACAGGATGGCTTGCTCAGGAGAAGCCAAAGCCTTGAAAGTGGCCAGCGATCTCCCCGGGGCAGCTGCAGAGGTGCGCTGATGTAGCCCCTGGGACGTTCCTCATGCTACCCATCCTGAGTGGGAAACTGAGAATCGCCACACCCAGGGGCCTTCTTTGTAACTTGTTTGCCACTCAGAGAGGGAGGTGGTGGCTCTCTGGTCACACAGCACAGCTCTTCCCCAGATGCTTCCCCAATGTCCCTGCTCAGCTGAGGAGATTTCCAAAGCAGCCAGGAGGAGGCGGGTTCCCCATGCTTGGGAGGAGCACAGACCGCTAAGGAACAATCAGCTCTCCAATACTGAGCACCTACTGTGTGCCTGGGAGGCTCCAAGTGGGGTACAAGGACGATAAGGCAGCTGGATCCCAAGGGGTGCACCCAGTGAGATGTAGACTCTTGGAGCCTGTGTCCGTGCTGTGACACCCCCGGGCCCCCAGTACCTGATACATAGTAGGTTCCCCATAAAGATTCGTTGAATGAATAGCTGAAGTATCAAATCTGACCTGGTACAGATGAGCCACCCAGGGTCGGCAGCAAGACGCTCAGGGGGGGAGGAGGACGGAGGGGGTTGGAGGTCACTGTGAGCCGCAGTGGCTTCGGGTGGGCATGATGGACAGGAAGGGGATCGGCACACGCAGAGCCGCAGAGGCGGGGGGAATACGTGGGGCTTGTATGCAACGCATGCGCAGTAGGTCAGGGGAAGTGGGACGGGGTCTGTGGGGAACAGGGTGGGTGATGAGATGGACGGGTCAGGGGCTGTCTCACAGGGGCCGTGGGTTCTTACAGGAGGGCAGTAGGGAGCCCTGGGAGGTTTTTGAGCGGGAGATGGACGGTCTGCAGCACACCCCCACCCCCATGCCTCCTGAGCCCAGGCGGAGCGGGGTCTGACGGTCTCCCTGGGGTGGGGGGTGAGGGCTGCTCTCATGAAACGTCACTCAGAGCTCGGGCTGAGGCCTTCTGGATGGTCCCTGTGCTAGGGCCCATCCAAGGGCCTAGGCTTCTGGGTTCTTGGGGGCCCAGCTTCTCCCCCACCCGGTGAGGCGGGGCTTCGGCCGCAGCTGCTCCTGTGGTTTCCACGCAGGGAAAGAAGGGGCTCCTCATTGTCCGGGAGGAAGAGCTGGAGACGCTGGCGGTCCAGTCGCCAGTGGGCATTGACAGGCTGCCCGCTGTGTGCCAGGCACTGGGCTGTGCCTGTGGCCACCTCTGGGGTGACCAGCACCCTTGCTCCCTGCAGGAGCTCCTGCCCTGAGGACCCAGCCCAGGGCAGTGAGGGAGGCAACCAGGGAGGGCAGACGAGGGGTCCGTGCTCCCGGGCAGGTGGCTGTGGTTGGGACTCGGTCCAGCTGACTGCCTGGGGTTGAGCCCTGCTTTGCTGCCTGCTGGCAAATGAATCGGGCCGTTGCCCTTCCCTCGAAGCCCCTGCCTTCTCATCTGTCCAGTGGGGGCTGAGGAGACCCTGTGGTAGGATGGCCAAGGACTGCTGTTCCGTGAGGTGATGTCAATCAGTAGCATACCCCGTTGTCTGAGTTCCCTGCCCCCAAGGAAGCAGGGGCTGGGCTGCCCTTGGCAGAGGAGAGGCCTCGGAGCCCTGCGGATGGAGGGAGGCTGGCCAGGCCACACTGAGCAGGCACGGAGGAGGGCCAAGGCGCCCAGCAGGAGCCTGCGCCCCAGTGCTGGTGACCGCTTCCTCCAGCTCGCCTGTGTGCCCACAGGAATCCCTGTGTCTGTGACCTCTTGGGAAAGCCAGGCCTCTTGGTCACTGAGTGTCCAGCCCAGACATCTGCACCCACCTCTGAGGGCAGCAGGGGGCTGGGGGCATGTGTCGTGACCTGGGCCAGCCAGGGTGGGGTTCCTGGCACTTTCTCTGATGGCCATCTCCCGTCTCTCTCGTCCCCACAGGACCACCTGAAGCAGTGTTTCTCCAGGCGACCCCCTGAGGCCAAGGACACAGACACCCTGGTGCACGAAGCCGACGGCCAGTATGGGACATGGGCAGACCAGCGCCAGAGTGGGGACAGGTAAGATCTGCAGTAGGACTGGCCACCAGCAGGGCATCTGGTTGCAGTGGATGCAGCCAGCCCAGCAATTTCTGCAGCCCAGGACCTCTTTGTTATCGTAAGAGGAAGCCATTCACATCAAAAAGAATCTTTACAAAGAAAAACTATATATATATATATATATATATATATATATATATATATATGATCAAATCTGGAGGATCTCCAATAGGCCAATCCAGAGACAGGGAGCAGCTGAGGGCAGTGGGAGGAGGAGCCTGCTGCACGTGGGCTGGGACTCCTCTGGGTGGCAGATACTTGGCGATGGTCCCAGGACTCTGTGGACGTGGTCAGTGTCGCTCATGGTAACATTTAGGTATTTTGCCACTATAGACAATTTCAAAGAAAACAAAAACCACCTATAATCCTAGCACAGATCTACCTTCATTCATGTTTTTCTGGTCTTTCTAGATTTCTTTCAGTGTGGGGAGGTGTTTACAAATGCAGTGGCGTGTGTCCTCCATGTTGCTTAATTAGCTGTGTCTGCTTAGAATCTCCGTTCTTGAGCCGTGTGCGGTGGTGCATACCTGTGATCCCAGCAGCTCTGGAGGCTGAGGCAGGAGGATCACGAGTTCATAGTCAGCCTCAGCAACTTAGCAAGGCCCTGAGTAACTGTCTGAAAATAAAAAATAAAAAGGGCTGGAGATGTGGCTCAGTGGTTAAGTGCCCTGGGTTCAATCCTCAGTACCAAAAAAAAAAAGAAAAATCTCCACCATTCATGGCCAGTGGGCCTCAGTGGTCAGCCTGGCTCGGAGGAATATTCTGGCTACTGCAAAAGCCTGAGGGCTCTCAAGCATAACCAGATTAGGAGGCAGGCAGCTGTGAATCCAGCCCCACCCTGACTGGGTACAGGACCCGGGTAGATTCCTTGTTTTCCCAATCACATGTTCCTCTTCCGTGAAAGGAAGTGATGCCCAAGAACTGGACACGCCTGGGGAGTGGGTGGGCCACACACGTGGTGAGCACTTCCCATGTTGATTAAATGTGTTAGCATTTAATTCCGTCATTCTGTGTTCTAGAAGAGAAACAGGCACCTCAGCACATGGACTGGTAACCTGTAGTGAGATTAGGTCCTGGCACATAGTAGGAGCTTTTGTGCCTGTTCTTGTTTCAGAAATACATTTCTTCCTTCATATGTTGGATGGGGTCGAGACAGTAATGGCTTCATGGCCACTCTGTGGATCTGCTGTGCCTTTAGCAGCCCACCCAGCAATTTCTGCCACAGGCCGACCTGGCAGATAGAGCCCTGGTCAACCCCAGCTGGGCTACTTCCCGCCCTCTCCTGTGTGACTGTTTCCACGTCTGTGGCCCTCATGCCCAGCCTAGGAAGCCGAGGCTCACAGGCAGCCCAGGGCCTGCCCAGGGTCACCATGTGTGTGTGGCTGAGGTGGACTCGAACCCAGGTCTCCTATGGGCCCTCTCACTGTCAGGAGTGACCATCCCCCTCTACTGGGTCACATCCCACGACAGGTGCTGATTTGAAGTTGGATTGAGGTTGATAGAATTGAAAATGGGTAAGAAAAAGGGGAGCAAGACAGTCCTGCAAATCTTTTTCTCTCCTAACCTGTGAAATTTAAAATAGGGTTTAGTTAGCTTCAGTTTCCTTAGAATGCCCTGCAAGGACGCTGGGTTATCGGGAGACCTAGACTGTGGTTTTGCTCATCTCCTAAGTGACCCCCGGAGCCCCTTCCCCTCTCCAGGCCTCAGATCCCCAGCGCGTAGACCAGGACCTGAGATCAGCCCGTCCCACCGGCGCTGCTGGTGGTGCACGCCCCCTGCTGTCTCCCAGAGGTACTGCAGCACCCCAGAAGCTCCAGCCTTGGGCAGTGGCGCCATCTGCTGCCTGCTCGTGGATATTTCCCTCCTCTTGTGTGGGTTTGCTGGGTCCCACCCACATCCTCACACCCTCGGTGCTGTCCGCCTTCCAACCTTCCAAGTAAGGGAAGCATCCCAGAGCCAACAAAAGCACCCTGAAATGCGGAACACCAGGGTCGAAAGTTCTGCTCGCGGGTGCAGCTTGCAGGTCCTTCAGCTTAAGTCAGGTGGGCACCCCCTTCCTCAAGGGGAGGGCTCCCCAGGCCCTGCAGCTCGGCTGCCTTCCCCACGTGGGGGTGTTCTGTGGAGTGCGGGGGATTTAATTGCTTGATTTCTATATCAATTTTCTATCCTGTGTGGTTCCAGTTTTCCGGATGATACGTGAATATAATCATGGGAAGGGATTTGAGTGGTAGGAGAGGCTCATGAGGGAGGATCCTGGAGTGCAGCTGCCTGGGTCATCCCAGCTCTGCCCCTTTGGGGAAGCAATGTTGCATCTCTGTGTCGGGTTTCCCAGTCTTTAATATTTAATTTCATGAGGTTACTGCCACCTCACAGTGTGGTGGGCATCAAAGGATTTTAAATAACCCTCATAGGAGAGAAGAGGATTGAATGGCACTGTGTTTAGCCTAGTGCTTGGAACATAGTAGGTGCTCAGTAAATCACTGCATGAGTGAGCGGGTGGGATCTGTTCTCCCGACTTCCTTGGGTACCTGCTGGTGGCCACTGATCAGCATCAGAGACCCCCCCACACACACACACAGATACACAGACATCATGTCATTTAAGATGTCCCGGTGGGTGCAGGAAAGGAGTACAAAGAAACAAGAAATATAAGCTAACTGTAAAGCTCACAAAATTCAACCCAAAGTTGATTTGAACAGTGTATTTGATGGAACCCAACCCATCTGACATGCTCCCGTCTCTAGGGAGACATCGCACGGTCTTTTGTGCAAAGTGTTGGACGGCCCCTGCGCACCTCGCGCTCGTGGCAATCCTGGCTCTCGCTGGCCACATCACAAGGCCCCGTCGCCACCTGGGACCACACAGGGCTGGAGAGTCTTGGATGGCGTGGGGCCGACTGTCCCTGCCCTGCCCCGGCCCCGTGTGCCCGGGGCACCACAAGCCGCACCCGGCTGGCAGGTCCTGCGTTTCCAGAAGGCGCTGCCCCGCGAGGTCCCTGCCGCTGCTCCCCGGTGCCCACAGCACCCCACCCAGCGGCTCTTCTGCCACCGCCTTTCCTTGAGGCTCTGGTCTCTGAAGCACCCTCTGTGACCCGTCTGCCCTCCCTCCCTGTGTCCCAGCTTGGCCCCCGAGTCCCCGTCTCCGGACAGCAGCACCCCATCAGCACGGAGACAGCCCCTCAGTGGCCGCTTGTCCTCTCTGTCCTCGCAAACGGAGCCCGCCTCGGCCGCCGACCAGCGGAGCACCAGCGTGGACCGCTCCAGCTCCGAGCTGGAGTCCACAGACGGGGCGGACGGGCTGCCCCCACCAGAGCCCTGCGTAGCCGGCAGAGCGGACGACTTCTCCTTCATCGACGTAAGTCCTGGCCAGAAGCATGGCTGGGTGCCATGGGTCTTTTCCCTTTAAAGGGAGGTGCCAGCATCTCCTGGTGACTCCCCTTCAGGGGTGGGCAAGGTCATGCCAGGGCCCCTGCGCTGGGTGCAGAGGGCACAGGGTGAGACCAAACCCACTTGGACCACCATACACCAGCTGTGGGTCTCTGGGCAAATGTCTTCACCTCTCTGAGCCTCAGCTTCCTTATCTCTTTGTAACCTGCACAGTGGGTACACAGCCTTACACACAGTCACGTGTTCAGTTAAAAGTGATCTAAGCCCTCACCCACCAGGAAGACAGAGGGCCACCTCCCCGCCCCCAGGGAACTCTCCCAGGGTTTACAGTTCCAAGCACGAAGAGCCCAGGGTTTGCTCAGAATGATTGTGCCCAAGTCCCCCCCGTCTTTCACAGAACAGTGTCCCTGGTGCCAGGGCGGTGGGTCTCTGCAGCAGCCATCCCAAGAACCAAAGCCCCTCAGGCAGGCATCCCTTGGATTCAGCTCCTTCTGGGTACAGGGCTCTGTGGCAGCTTACAGGCCTGTGTGATGTCCCCAGGAGGCTGTGTGCCTAGTGTGTGCAGGCACGGTGCTGGGTCTCAGGCCCACTGCTTCATTGATTTTTTTTTTTTTTGGTACCAGGGATTGAACTCAGGGCCCTCGACCACTGAGCCCCATCCCAGCCCTATTCTGTGTTTTATTTAGAGACAGGGTCTCACTGAGATGCTTAGGGCCTTACTTTGGCTGAGGCTGGCTTTGAACTCGAGATCCTCCTGCCTCAGCCTCCCAAGCCACTAGGATGACAGGTGCAAGCCACCATGCTCAGCTCCATCGATTCTTGTAATTGGCCTAGTGGTTCGTGTGGAGGGGTTTAGGTGAAGGGCATTTGGGTTACCATCGACAGGATAGCCCACGTGATAACGAACTAGTGCCTCAGGGATCAGAAACCTATAGACATCCTGCTGTGGACGCTCTCCTCAACTCACGGATCCTTTGCCTTTTTTCTTCCTCCTTGCCACCCCCAAAGCAAACCTCAGTCCTCGACTCCAGTGCCCTCAAGACCCGGGTGCAACTCAGCAAAAGAAGCCGCCGCCGGGCTCCTATCTCCCACTCTCTCCGGCGTAGTCAATTCAGCAAGTCAGAGAGCCAGTCTCCTTTGGAGGAAGAGATTGATAGCATGTGGATGTTCAAGGACTCAACAGGTAGGCCAGTGCCTCTGTCCTACCTGGTTACCACATCGAACAGCAGGAAGGACCTAGGTTAAACTCGGGAGAACTTCCTGGTTTTGCAGGCATGTGAACATTAGAACACAATTAAATAGAAAACTGATTTCTTGTTCAGAAGAGCTTATTGGAAACTAGGCAAAAAATGTTCTGAGGGATAATATAATAATTGAGGCCCTTTGAGTTTCACAACTTAATAGGGTTTACTCTGTATGCTTTTATCCTTATTAAGGTATAAATTCACACTTACACTTTCTTTATGTTTGTTTGCTGGTCTTTTCCTAAATGCTTGGGTTAAAAGATCATTTATTTTCAGTCTTTCCTAATGAATCACTTTAAGGCTATACATTTTCCTCAAAGGACTGCTTTGGCTGCATTCTGTATCAAAATCTGAGCTCTCAAAGAACAGAGAAGAATGATCTAGGTAAAGGTATTCCAGGCAGCAGTGTCCTTGAGATCTAAGGGACACACGTGTGCAAAGCGCGTTCTGTGTTTCTGGGGACTCTCTAAGCAGTTTGGTGTCCCTCAAGCTGGGAGCGATGGGAATGAGGCTGGAGAGGTTGGCAGGGGTCAGGCCTGGAGACCCTTGACGATGTGCTGAGGAAGTAGAGCCCATCTGTAGGTGGAGAGCCACCAGAGATTTTAAGAAAAGCAAAGTTTCTTCAGGTCACGGGAATCAGGGCAGCTGGCCTGTGTGGACAGGAGGATGTCGGACCAGGTCCTGAGCCAGGGGAAGCACGTGGCTCCTGCAGATAGCCACCTGTCACCCAGGCTTGGAAGATCCACGTCCCCCTCTCCCATCAGTTTCCGTTGCTAAGGACACGTTCAAGTGCCTTGAGGGAAGGGGACTCCTCCCCGCACACGTCCTTGGTTTCTGAGGTGAGCTCTGCTAAGTCACCTGGAGCAGGTGGAGCCAGACCAGGGACAGAAGCACACAGATAGCTCCAGCTTCGAGGAGCTGGCCCAGGGCAGGGCACTTAACGGACACGTCACAGCCCCTGCCTAGTCTGGGGGCTCCAGAGTCCAGCGCTCCCTAGTTCACCTTCCACACCTACCGTGCCCACACCTGTGTCCAGGCTCCCCGCACCCTGCCTGCTGTCCCCGAGGGCTGGGGACAGGTAGCCCCTCCCCTGGAGGCTCTGGCTGGGGTAGCTCTTCTGTTCTCTAGGGGCACAGCTCCAGGGAAGAGGCTCAGGGTGTGTCCACGTCCTTTCCTGTCTCTGCCACCATGTCCTTCTTGTTCCCTGCCATGGCATGAGCCAGGAGGGGGTCTCTCTGCCCACCCCAGGAGAAAGCTGGCTTTCCTGTCACCCACATCTCCTGGCAAGAGCCGGAGTCGTGCAGAGAAAGGCATGAGCCTGGGTTGTTCTTTAGCACAGCCCGCAGTGCCCTCGTAGCAGGGTAGAGGTGCCAGTCCTGGCCCCTAGGACTTGGCAGATGCCGGGCCATGACTCCAGTGCCCTTTTCTTTGCCACAGAAGAGAAGTCGCCCCGGAGGGAAGAGTCAGATGAGGAGGAGAAGCCTCCTAGGGTGGAAAGAGCTCCCGCCAGCCTCCCTCAGAGGATGCCCGTGTTCCCGGGCATGGACCCGGCCGTGCTGAAGGTAGGGACCCCAGGACTGCCCGGTGCCCCTCCTCCTCACAGCGTCCCTCCCTCCCTCCTCTCTCCCTCCCCCTCCCTCCCGGCTCCCTTCCTCCTCCCCCCTCCCTGCTTCTTTCTTTTTGAAATAGTTTAAGGCCCAAGGGAAGTTCCAGAAGCAGCTGGACCTTCCAGTCAGCTTTGTCCCCTGCTGCTGTCCCACGGGAGCACAGAACATTGTCATAACCAGGAAAATGGCCTCGGCACCTGCCACCGGCCGTGCTGTTGAGCCCTGTGGATTTGGCCCGTGGCCCTGAGTCCCTGATTTCCACTTGTGGCCTCTCTTTGGCCCCCAGACCTGCCCACAGCTGGGCCTCAGGGTCCTCACCTATGAAGGGGGCTGGCCATCCATTTTGGCCATTAGGGCCAGCGCTGGGGAAACCGAGTGAGCCCACCTGACCCCTCGCATCCTGGGGATGGAAGGTGCAGGACGCGCTGAGTTCCGCGCTGGCTGGCAGGAGGGCTGCCCTGGCGCCGCGTGACGCTCTCTTAAACTACCAGAATCCCAGCTGGATTATGGGGTCCCGGGGGAGGTGCTGGGCAGCCTCCTCCCTCCCGGCTCGGCCAGGGCTGCCCCGCGGCCTCCATGAAGGGGTACTTACTGCGGGTAAGGAAGGGCCCTCTGCGCTCCTGGCTCTGGGCAGCTCTTCACGCGCTCCCTCCACGTGCCGCAGTCCCACGGGAGTCTCCGCATGACCCTTTGTTGAAGGCAGAAAAGCCCAGATTCCTCGGGGAACATCAACTCCGGATATTCCGCAGGCCACAAAAACCACCTAGCAGAGGCCACGGGCCTGTTCCTCCTTTGGTAGACAGAAGCTTTGCGTTCTGTGTTCTTTTTAGCAAGAATCAAAAGTCACTAGACATTGTTTGGAGCTTGCCCCTTAATGGATCTCACAGGTCCTCCAAATAGGAACATCTCTTGAGCCACTATCCAGGGCCAGAGGTTATCTGACTCAATAAAGTAAAAAAAAAAAAAAAATTGTAATAAATTCAAAAACTTAAAAGTCAAAAAATTTATTTCCTAAGGCTTGTAATCCTAGCAGCTGGGGAGGCTGAGGCAGGAGGATTGCAGGTTTGAGGCCAGCCTTAGCAATTTAGTGAGGCTCTAATCAACTCAGTGAGACCCTGTCTCTAAGTAAAAAAGCGAGAAAGGATTGGGGACAGGGCTCAGGGGTTAAGTACCCCTGGGTTCAATCCCCAGTACCAAAAAATAGGGGAAAAAAAGAAGTTTCCTTAGCATTGGAACAAACGATCCTGGAAGGGGCCTAGCAGAGGCAGAGGGGGGTCCTGGTTGAGGAAGGGCAGGGCTGGGGCAATGTCCCGAGTCGCCCCTGGGGCAGACCCTGGATCCTCAAGCGCATCTGGAATCCCCTGCGCTAGGTGAAAGGTGGCTGTGCGTCGGCTCCTGGAGAGGAGGCTGTGGGGCTGGTTCACCAGGGGCGGTCAGTGGGTGGTGGTGGCAGTGACCATTGCTGGGACCCACCTTCACTGCCACCGTGGGGTGGAGCTGCCGTCCCCTGGGAGGTGGGGAGGTGGGAGGTAGGAGAATGTGACTGTGGGTTTGGGTGGCCACTTGACCTCGAAGGCCAAGGCCACCAGCTAGAATGCCACCTGGCCTCTGGCTTTCCCCAGCCCTATTTCCTGCCTGGTTCTTCAGCCTCAGGGCCCACTACTTCTGGGGGTCACCATGCTTGCCCGGGTCACCGGAGAGTCCCCTGTGCAGGACGAAGGTGGTTACAGACCCGGCTCTTCTCTCCCCAGGCCCAGCTGCCCAGGAGGCCAGAGGTGGACAGTTCTGGAGAGACCCCTGGCTGGAGCCCCCAACCCAAAGCCCCCAAGTCCCCCTTCCAGCCTGGGGTGCTGGGCAGTCGCGTGCTGCCCTCCAGCATGGACAAGGACGAGAGGTGAGGCCGGGGGACCAGGGTCTCGCCTCCCGAGCTCTCCAGCATGACAGCCGGAGCCCGCTGCAGAGGAGGGAAGGAGGCCGGCCAGCTGAGGTCCACTGTCCTCCTCCCCCTGCCTCCTGCCCCAAACCAGCCCCTGTCGCTGGGGAACTGCTGATGGGTGCAGCCTTCTCCAGACGACGGGGAAACAGAGGCCACCTCCCTCCTGTCACTCTCCTGGGGGTGCCTTTGTCTCTGGAGGTGGGGGGCCGGGGAGGATGGTCCCAAGGGCGCAGCCAGACAAGACCAACTGCCGGGTCCCCTTCCTGGCCAGGCCTCCCCGTGCAGGGAGGAGCCCAGGACACCCCTGCGTCCCGCAGTGCTCAGACCAGGCCAGCAGCTGGTCTTGGAGGTTAAGGGCACAGGCTCCAAGGTCAGCAGCCAAGGTCAAGCGACTCCTCAGTAGCGCTACTGATGAACCTGGGGAAAGTTACTTGGCCACTCTGAGCCTCGGCTTCCTCGTCTGTGAAGTGGGTTTGCTGATTCAAACCTCTCGGCTGGTCACGAGGATGAAACAAATGTATACAGGGCCCTTTGCGGGCGGCTGGCATGAGAAGTCCCCTGGGAGAGTGGACCTCTCACGAGGACTGTTAGCATATGAAGCTCAGACTCATTCGTGAGCCCAGGGCTGCGACCTAGTCAGTGAGGTGACAGAGCACACAGTGGCAAATGACAACTCTCAGGCCCGATCTGGCCCGCTGTCTGTGTTTGTCAATAAAGCTTTATTGGCACACAGACACGCCCATTCACTAGGTGCCATGGCACCCACTGCAGGAAGGGTTCCCCTTCGACCCTGTGGAGAGGAGGGATTCATTACGCAAAGTGCAGGAGGAAGGGCGTCCCCAGTGGTTTCCATAGAAGGGGACACTTTTGAGAGTCCTGAAGGACAAACCCATCTCGCTAGGGGAGGGAGCAGTGACCTGATCCCAGGCTGTGCCAACATGGAAAGGCCTGCGGTGCTATCCTGGCATAGCCCAGGGTGCCACGGGAAGCAGAAGGACCAGCTTACGGGGGGAGGGGTGCGGCCAGATGTGCCTCCTGCCCTGGGTGCAGCCTGCAGCTCGGCGTTCAGTCCCCCGGGGCAGGGTCTGCAGGCCCACAGGAGGCCTGGGCTAAAGTCCAGGGTGCCCCAGACCCAGCAGGCCAGCAGGCTGGAGACCCAGGGAGAGCCGGAGTTCAAGTCCAAAGGCAGTATACTGGCAGAATTCCCCCTTCTTCCTAGGAGATGAGTCTTTTCCTATGAGGGCCTTTGACTGACTGGGTGAGGCCCACCCATAGTAGGGAGGGTGATCTGCTTTACTGAGTATGTTGTTGTAAACGTCAATCTCAGACTGGGGTATAATTCAGTGGCAGCACACTTGTGTACCATGCAAAAGGCCCTGAGTTCAATCCCTAAAACTGCTATACTACTACTACTACTAATTATAATAATAATCTCAAAAATATCTTCACAGTCAGGCACAGTGGCGCACACCTGTAATCTCAGTGGCTCAGGAGGCTGAGGCAGGAGGATTGCAAGTTTGAGGCCAGCTTCAGCAACTAAGCGAGGCCCTAAGCAACTTAGCGAGGCCCTAAGCAACTTAGCGAGACCCTGTCTCAAAATAAAATTAGAAAGGGCTGGGGATGTGGCTTAGTGCTTAAGTGTCCCTGGGTTCAATTCAATGATACCAAAAGAAAAAGAAAAAAATACCTTCACAGAAACATCTAGAAAAATATCTGACTAAATATCCGGTGCCGTTGTAGCCAAGGTGACACCTAAAGTAGCCCAGGTGTTACACAGAGAGCTGGAGGGTGACGTGTGTCTGGGTGATGGGTGGAAAGGTTTTACATAAGGTGGCCTTTCACGGCCTCACGTTATTCTACAGCGGGCCCCGGGGTTCACCCAGCACCCACTGTGGCTTTGGTTGGTTTCTAGCGCTTGCTCATCAGCGGTGTTAACACGGGCATCCTACCTCCCATGGGTGCCCGGCTCAGCACCCGCCTCGGCATGGCAGGTGGGGGAGGGTACCCCTGGTGCTGCCTGTGAGAGCCACTGGCCTGGGTCCCCTTGACACTTACTGTGGTTTCAGGTCAGAGGAGCCCTCTCCCCAGTGGCTGAAGGACCTGAAGTCCAAGAAGAGGCGGAGCCTATATGAGAACCAAGCTTGACCGGGTAGGAGGGGCCTGCTGGGGAGACCCGGGAAGAGGGAGGCCCAGGTGGGAGGCCAGGAGGAGAGGAGGCTGTAAGGAGGTTGGTGACAATCTGCCCCCGCAGGGAGAAAACAAAGCTGGGAGCCTGGGGTGGCTGGAGAGGCCACAGGGCCAGCGTCCGATGCCAGGGGCCTCACGTGCTGGGCCAGCCCCTCCTATCCATCTCAGGCCCCCTTGTAGGGAAAAGTTGGACATGGAAGGACTAATTAATTAGTTAGATTAATCTGAAATATTGCAAATTTTACAAATGGAACATGTCTGTGGCCCAACTGTGTCATGAAGATTTGATCTGAAAAATAGTCGTTCCTTGGTGTCTCCTGGGGATTGGCTCCAGGACCCCCTCCCACATACCCGAATCTGGGGAAGCTCAAGCTATAACATGGCGCAACCTTTGCACGAATCCCACCCTCCCACGTTCTTGAAATCACACCAGGTGACTTAGAATCAGTGCAGACGCTGTGTGGTCACCACGCTGTCCTGCTCAGGGAATAAGGACAAGGAAAACCCTGCAGGGGTGCCGCACACTCTCTTCTTTCCACATATTCCCAGTCGGGGGCTGTGAGTCCACCGATGTGGACCTGCAGCCAGCAGGGGGCCGACTGGGTTCAGAGAAAACGTCCAGTGATCAGATCTGCCCTGCTGTTGCTGCCCAAGGGCCCAACACAGTGACCGTCAGCTTCCCCATCTGCAAAATGCAGAGTAGTGCCCATGTCACTGAGGACCCCTGGGCCCACGGGGGGCCCACCCCAGGGGTTCCGGTGCTGTCTCTGTGGCCTCGGTCTACGTAGGGCCCAGGGTGCTCGCGTCAGCTGTGATGCATCAGCAGAGGGACCCACGTCCTGAACCGCACTAGCGCTGGTGGCCAGGCCCTCTCAAATGCCTTCCCGGCAAAGCCGGCCCTGAGCAGACGCTGTGCTGCCCGATTCCACCCGCCCCACTTCATTATTTATGGGGGTGCTGCACGTTAGGCACGTGCTCTGCCACTGAGCTGGGACCCCAGCCCTGACTGACCCACCTTAGTGAGTTCTGTGGCATGTTAGGTGCTTGATTGGGGTGTTGCAGGGTACGTATGCATGTATGTGAGATGTGACTTAATGTTTATGTATATGGACACACAGGTATGTGTATAGGCTAAGCCCAAGAAGACCCATAAATCCCCAAATCTGTGCCTAAGGGACTGGCTCGGAGATGAGGACCTACGTGGACTTTGTGTTAGTGGGGTACCTGTACCAGCCCACGGAAGCCTTGAGAAATCCACTTTTTGGTATTGGGGATTGAACTCAGGGGCACTCAAATACTGACCCCAGCCCTTATTTGTATTTTATTTGGAGACAGGGTCTCACTGAGTTGCTTAGGGCCTCACTTTTGCTGAGGCTGGCTTTGATCTCTCCATCCTCCTGCCTCAGCCTCCCCAGCCTCTGGGATGAAGGTGGGGGCCACTGTGCCTGGCCAGGGGAAATCCATTTTTCAAAGACTTTGTTTTTCATTGGCATGAAATACTTGTACATATTTGTGGGGTGCATTGTGGTGTTTCAGGGCCTGTATTCCTGCCGTGGTCACACCGGGCCACTAGCTCATCCGTCACTGCAAACATTCATCGTTCCTCTGTAGGGAGAGCATCCCCCATCCGCTCCTTTAGCTATTTTGAAATATATAATACAGTGTTTTCACCAGCAGTTCATTTGAGGAAATTGAGGCTCAGAAATGGCCCTAAATGTCATGTTTGTTCTACTGAACCAGACTGTCTGCTCCTCCTCTCTCTGCCCCCAAATAATTTCATGCCGGTCCTGAGGCTTGTGGGGATCACTCTCTTGGGATTATCAGAAAAGGTTATGCATTTATTTTACTGAATTATTTATTTATTTGGGGGGCAGGGGGATACCAGGGGTTTAACTCAGGGGCCCTCGACCACAGAGTCCCATCCCCAGCCCTATTTTGTATTTTATTTAGAGACAGGGTCTCACTGAGTTGCTTAGGGCCTCGCCGTTGCTGAGGCTGGCTTTGAACTCGAGATCCTCCTGCCTCAGACTCCCGTGCCTCTGGGATGAGGCGAGCACCACTGGGCCTGGCTCATTGACTTATTTGGGGGGTGCTGAGGATCTAGCCCAGGGCCTCGCACCTGCTAAGCACATGTACCACCACTGAGCAGCGTCCCCAGCCCCCCCAAAAGGTTGGAAGCCCTGATGACGGAGAGGATCGGGGCCAAATGTTCCCACTACTGATACCAGGACTGTCCCTTCCTCTCCAGGCAGGGGACACCGCCACATCCAATTAACAGAAGCCTTAAGTGCCAGACTGTCTGAACCCGCCGCTGAGGCCGAGCCGCCGTTCCTGCACCCCGCTCACGTGCCTGGGCCCCTCCCGAGGCCCGAGACTGCTGTCCAGAGCCCCAGGATCCGGCCCCGCTCAGCTCCCTAGACGGCACCGCTGCCTGGGAAGAGGCCCGGCCACGCAGAAAGGCCCACGCCGCTGGGTCCTGCCTTTCCCTCAGAAGTTCGCATCTCGACCCTCTCCCGGAGCTGTGGACGCCGGGGCTGGACTGTCACCCTGGGTCCTGGGAAAGCCCCGCATTGGGAAGGCACCTCGCTCCTCCCCAGGCAGGTCGTCTGGGAAGGAGGTTTTCCAGAGAGTTCCAGTGTTTGCTCCCTGACACGGCCTTGGTCTGGGGCACCACCACGAGGCCACAGTTCCTGGTGACTTCTCGACAGGCTCCTTCCCCGGAAGGAGGCCGCATTTGCAGTGTCCAGCCACCTTTCCAGTTCCTTCAAGGGTCTCTGTCCTTCCAGGAGCCATGTGCAGGGTCGACTGCGTCATCGTACGTCATTTTTGTTTGCTTTAGAAGGTGATAAAGCAATAATCCCGCCAATTTTCTTTGAAACTCAATATGTCCACATTTGTAGAGGCCAGGAGGGAGGTCTGACGGCGAGCCATGAAGTACCACCACCTCAGGTTGTCCAAGCTCGGTGAAACGGCCATTGTCACCCTGGTCCGTATCTTCCTGGTTCCTTTCAGTCTGGTCCCTGGGGAGGCGGTGACCTTTGTCTCTGCAGCTGAGACGGCGCTCCCTTGCCCCGAGACATCTGGCCTGCGCTGGGCCTCCTTTCCCCGGCCTGTTTTGAACCCCGCTGGCCTTCTGGGTAGAGGGACCGCCACTGCAAGCTGAGCTCAGGACACACAGGGTCCTGTCCTCCCTGTCCCACCCCATCCCACCCCGCACACAGCTCCACCCGCCCAGGGCCCTTCCTGGTCCAAGTGCTGATCTCACTCCAAGTCCTTCCCTGGAGGGGAGCCCCAGGCGGGGACTCTGGGCAGGAGTGCTGGGTGCTGGTGACACAGGGGGACCCACTTTACCTCTCTTTCTTGCTAGCTATAAGCGAAGCACGGGGCAGCCACAGCCTCTGGTGGCTCCTGACGCCTTCCCCACCTCTCGCTCTCCCTGGGAGTACTCAGCACCAGCACCTCCTCTTGGGAAACCCAGGCGCCAGCAAGCACCCTGCACCCGTCCTGCCTGGAGTCGTCACCAATCTTGTGCCAACTTTGCCTGGGAGATGTCCTCGGTGACATTCTGGGCTGTGCAGGACTATAGAGGGATGCCAGGGCTGAGTGTCCTGGCGACCCCCACACAGCCCCAGCACCCGCTTCTTGGCTTCCCAAGTAGGGGCCATCTCTGGGTATCCCTTCTCTGCAGATGTGTCAAGACCTGCTTCTCTTGTCTCTCGCTGGTCACGTCTCCACCGGTCCCCCATCCCCACCTCCTGGTCTTCTCTGCCTTCACCGCCTTGTCTCTCTTGTCGGGGGGACAGCAGCCCTCTGTCTCTCTCCTGTCCTGGGGGCCTCCGTCTCTCCAGGTTAGGACAAACACCTGTGCCCAGGGAGGGCCGGTGGTTCAGTACCAGGGACAGTGGCCACAGACCCCAGGGCACCCCACGCCATCCCTGCTCCCTCCCAGCTTCTGCACCTGGGAGCCTCTTGTCCCCGTGTGTGCTGGGTGACACTCTGTATTTCCTTCATCCCTGAGTTAGTAGTCGGTGTCCTCTGCAGCCACCTGGGGACTCACTGCCTCTGGAACAGCTTGAATTGGTTTTCTTGAGGGTCTGTCTCGGTTTTCCAGCAGTTTTGATGTGGTGGCTTTCCAAGTCAAGGGACACGTTCTTGAGTGTTTTGACGCTGACGTCTCAGTTTTATCTTTTCTTGTGAGTGAAAGGGCTTCTTGTTCCCTCTCAGGAGCAGGCACAGAGCAGATCTTGATATACTGATGCGACCACCAGGGGCGCGTAACCACTGAGCCACATCCCCAGCCCTTTTTAAGTTTTTGTTTAGAGAGAGGGCCTCACTAAGTTGCTGAGTCCAGCCTCCAACTTGCGATCCTCCTGCCTCAGCCTCCCAAGCCTCCGGGATTACAGGTGTGCACTACCGTGCCCAGCAGAATCCTCAATTCTTAATATAGTAGCCCACCTGACAGGAAGGAGATTCCTGACACGAGAGATTCCAGACACAAGACTGCCCTGGGGTGGTTCTGTCCAGCCTTTCCCGCCTTGATTGGCAGAAGTCTACTTAATTCCCTGTTGATGAAGAGGTGACACTGACCATGAATCTGGCCAGAACAAGCCTCTGCACCTTTGGCCATGTGCCTCCTCATCTCTTCCAGCACTCCAGGGCTGACAGTCACAGCCACGCGGGTTCTCTGGACCCCAGGCTCCTGCTTATGATCAGCGCAATGAAGTGACAGGTGGCTGATGTTCCGGGGATGGCCCCACGGGTTGCCGATTTCTCCTTTGGAAATCTGTCCCCTTTTAAACTACCTTAATATGCCTTAATCCTCCAGGTGCCCCGAGCCCGGCCCCACCCAGCGTCCTCCCCGGCTCTCCCGCTGTGGACCCCACATTCCCGTGCGGCTCGCCCCCTCCGCCCTTTGCACATCAGCTCTTTGACAGCTGGCCTTTTGATAGTCCGTACCTTGTCCTCTAGTTAGACCCCTCCCTCATGGTCCCCACGGCCAGGGCTCGGGAATCAGTGTTGGGAAGACTCTCGGCCCCCGAGAATCAAGTGGGGGTGGACTCGTGGTCCCGGGGAGGTTGGGGGTTGGGAGCGGCGACAGCCTTACGTTTGACAATCAGGGACAGGACAGTCAGATGGCGGCGGTGCCTTCCAGGGGGACGGGCCAGGCGACAGATGCGGATGTTCCTCTGCGTGTCCCCGGGGGCGACGCCGGCCTGCTAAGGACTGGATCAGGAATAGTCGCAGGTCCCAGGCCTGGAGCGCAGGGGCTGAGCAGGGGACTTGGAAGGACCTTCAGGTGATTTTCCTACCACTGACCATGGCTTCTCCGCGTGCTGTCACGGTGCCACCTCCATCTGGGCGTGGACCCTCCAGAACGCCCCGGGAGCTCGGCAGGACCGCAGAGCTGACGCTCCCACCCCCCAGTTTAGATATGTGGGCCGTGGCCAGGTGGACGGTTCCCAAGTGACACTGCGGCAGCCTCTGTGCCTTCGCCACACCGTGTGTTGAAACAGGAACACAAAAGACCCAGGGGGTCCTGGTTCCCTGGGGCAGGAGGGACAGTGTGCGAGGAGGGGGACACTGGACCTGCGCCACATCCAGAAAGGGTAGAGCAAGGGGCGGGTCTGTGCTGAGAAGCTCCCGGAGTGACCCTCTGGGCAGGCCGGGGCTCTGGAAGCCAGCAGGCCCAGTGAGCTGGCTGTCCCCCTGGGTCCCTTGCTCTCTGTGTCCAGTTGGCTTCTGTGGGAAGGTGGGTGGGAAGCCAGGTCTCTTTTCCAGAAAGTCAACAGGACGCTTTTGGCAAGGAAACGCTTGAAGTGGACGCCTGAGCCTGTCCCCTCGCTGCCCGGGAGCTCCTTAAACAGTCGTGCTCTGACCCGTGCCCCGTCTCCTCCTGCCATGACTCGGACCTGCCCTTCTGTGACAATCACTGGTGGCATCAGGCCGCTGGACATTGATGTCATGGTCTAAAGAAGAATCTGAGCTTTTTAGTGGCCTCATCTGACACGGCCTTACGGATCCTTAAATCCCGGGTTCACACACGTCCTCGACTGCATTAGGGAAGAGACTTCTGTTCTGTCATTTCCTAAACCCCGACAATGCCCTGACAGTCCTGCTCTTCCCTGGGCGGGCGATCTTGGCCCTCAGGACACTCCCGGTCGGGGGCAGGAGGGTGGAAATCCATATGCACAGAGTCTCTATTTTCCTAGTCATTCTTGGGGGTCCCTCCCGGGATCTTTGAGTCACCATCGAAGGTGTCAGTTCCGGGGACAGGTGCAGCCTCCTGCCCGCCAGGTTGTCGCAGTGGCCTTATGAACCCCCAGGCTCTGGGCCTTCTGGACAGAGGGCAGGCGAGAGGCACCTGAGCCAGTCCCGGGAACAACCTGTCACCGCGTGGCTGAGAATTCATCTAGAAAGTCCTCTATTTTTCATGTAAAGGCCCCGTGGGGCTCCCTGACCTCACGGCGTCGCGTGTCTACAAGTGCTTTCATATTTGTGACTGTACAGAGGCCCTGCCTGTCTCCAGAGCAGCTGGGGACAGTCCACTGCAGTGAGGAGCCTGGGCTGGGCTTGCACAGAGATGCTGCGTTTGGACCATGAACATAGCAAATAAAGCTTGGACCAAGTGGCGTTGGAGAAGGCCCCGTGTCCCTGTGTGAATGAATGGGTCTCCCCGGCGTGCAGCCTGGTCCTCTCTGACTACGTCGGTCTCTCTTGGCCGGGCAGCAGGAGGGAGCAGCGGGGTCCCGGGAGAGGGTGTCTGTCCGTCACTGGAGCCCATAGGAACAAGGCAGGAGTTGCATTCAGATGACAAGGGCTTGTGTCCCCACCTCCTGGGGGTGGCACGTCTCTGAGCATCTGTACAGATGGACAGTGATGGCAGCAAGAGTGGTCCTCAGAGGGCAGGGCTGTGCCCCCCAGAGGACATCCGCCAAGACAGGAGGCCTCTCCATTACCACAGGAGGGGAGGCTGTGACCAGGGAGGCCGCTTGCTCATCAGGGGACAGCTCCTCTCCCCATGTCCACCCCTACCAAGAATGATCTGGCTGCAGGTGGCAGAGGGGCCAGGCTGGGGCTCTGGGTTATGGAGGCCTGGAACATGACAGTACCGAGCACCTGGGGGACCGTCCCTCCTCGGCCTTCCCCCCACGCTCTATGGGAGGGCGTGACCACAATCCAAGTGGCAGGGCTGGAGACTGCGTGGCCTTTCAGGACCTCTGCAGTGAGCGTCAGGTGACCACAGCAGGGGTCCCGGGAACGGGGTGAAGGAGCCGCGGCCATGAGGGGTTTGCTCACGGGATCTCCCCGTGGCCGGAGGAGGGAGAAGGGAGCAGGTTCTCCATTTGTGGCCCAGGAGGCTGGCTCTGGGACCATCACTGCTCATCTAAGGTCACAGGGATCTGCCCGAGTCCAGGGTTCGATGGCCACCCGCAGCCTCTTGCCACCAGCTCCAAGGGATGCCGCAAGGTGACCAGGGCCTTTCCCAGACTTGAGGGGTTTCACCCAGAGCGACTGCACAGTGAAAGGGACCTTGCTTAACCGTCCACTCCGGGCCCCCACGTCTCGTCCACTCCGTGTCATCCGCAGTGACTTGTTGGGTGATCATGTGTCACACAGCCCAGCTCTGCCAACCCTTGAAAATGGCTCCATCTACTCTCGTCCTAAATAAGTTGACCTTCATTTCCGCCTTTATTTCTATTGAGGCTGAGAGCCAGGCCTACAGCTCAGAACTCCGTTTCTGAACTATAAAGTAGAGATCATAAGTCCTCCCCTTAAGAAAGCTGGGTGAGGGCTCCACACAATGCTTATGAAGCCTTGCACACAGTAGGTCTTCAATAAATGGTAGCTATGATGTGTGCGTCATCTCTATGAAGAAGATACATTTTTTTTTTTTTTGGTAATAGAGACTGAACCCTGAGCCCCATCCCCAAACCTTTTTATTTTTTATTTTGAGACAGGGTCTCACTAAGTTGCTTAGGGCCTTGCTTAGTTGCTGAGGCTGGCCTCACACTTTTGATCCTCCTGCCTCAGCCTCACAGCACATGGAAAAGGGAGGATTCCCGAGGCCCCCCCCCCCCCCCGTCAGAACTGAGCTTTCCAAGGGCATCGTACACCCCAGGGGTAAAAGGGGCGATCCCAAGACATCCAAGGAGGGAGCCGGGGCACACCCCGGAGCCCCACGGCCTCTGCCCTGCCCAGCACTTTCAGACTTCCCACAAAGCCCCCAGGAAGTCATCAGAGGCCACATCTGAGGACGAGGCGCAGGGGCCTCTGTGGGTGGCTATTGGAGTGAGACGGCCCGGACAGAATCGGGTGGACAGGACGCTGCCTCAGCAGGCGGGGACGTGCTGGGCTGTCAGAACGTGCCCATAAATAGGGCGCTCCTGGAGGCAGGCCGAGTCCGCAGCGCGTCCTGGTCCCCGTCCTTCCCGAGGCTACAGCAGCAGGTTCACGGGGGCTGGGCGGGGCCGGGGGGTGGGGGAGAGCAGCCCAGGAGGCCTGGGGACCCTGGTGGCCGCCCCCTGCAGATACTGGGGGTCACCTGAGGGTTGGCACTGAGTGAAAGGACCCCAGACAGCCACCAAACCCACTGGGAGCCAGCGGGGACCTTCCTGATCTGTGGTGTCAGAGGGCGGTGGCCCCTGTCACGTGCCCGGGGGCAGGGCTCCCAGGACTAGCAGAGCAGGGGAAGGGGACCTTGGGGCCTTCCAAGTCCCACGAGTCCCCAGGAGCTAGACCGAGTCCTGCTTCCAGCTGAGCTGGGCACAGGGACCAGACGGCCCAAGTGTGGCCAAGCCTGCGTCCGGGGCTCACGGGCCACACGGCTGTGTGTCGGGAGTGGTCTCCCTGGGAACGAGGGTGGGGACAGCGGTGTGTGAGGTGTCCCTGTGGGTGCTGTATGTGCCACCATGTGTGTGCGTGACAGAGAGCGTGAGGAGGTGTCTGCGTGCCCATGGGGGGGATGTCACTAGGCAGGGGCCCCGGGAGCTGTGCGTGTGTGTGCGTGGAGAAGCGTCCTGTGAGCGTCCACGTGGGCAGCAATCAGGAGGACCTTCCACGTGACACCTGAAGGTCCCCAGGGTGAGCGTCACTGTCCCTATCTGGGTTTGTCTCTTGAGGAGACAAGTTTGAGATGGAAGTGGTCACCCTCCTCCTGTCACTGGAGTGCAGGTATACAGTAAGTGCTCAGTGAGTGCATGGACAGAGTGACTGGCTGTGTGCAAACTGGCCCAGAGCAGGTGTCTGAGGACCTGGCTCCGAGGACAAAGCTACCTTGGTCCCTTCTGACAGCTGTGGTCCCTGCTCATCCTGGTCACCTGGTCTGGGCCTGGGTGCTGAGCAGGTGCTCACAGACTCACTGGAGGACCAAGAGACCTGGGGACAGACGACCACACTGCCTGGGGCTTGGGGTGGGAGAGACCCCGCAGAGCGACACCCAGACGCCCGCTCTGGCCAGGGTCCTCAGGCGGCGCCTAGAGAGCCCCGAGAACCCCACTTCAGGGTGCCATGGGTGTGGGGAGAAGGCACGGGCTTTGAGGCCAGGCCAAGTTTGTGCCTTGGGAAGGTCCCCTCTGTAAGTGGGGCTCCCAGTCCCCAGGGTAGGTCTGAGCGAGTGCTGATGACTGACCCAGGGAGCCACAAAGCAGCACAGTCCCAGCCCCTCTAATCCCAGCAGGCCACCCCGGGGACCCTGTGACCCATTCTCCTTTGGTCTGAAGCCAGACGCTCCCGAGGAGATGGCGGAACAGCTCGGGGCCCCCGAGCAGGCTGCGGCCGGCAAGAGCCACGGAGGCCTGGGCGGTGGCTACAAGGTACTGGGTCGGGAGGGGCCCGGCCGGGGCAGGGCCCTCTCCCCCCCCCCCCCCCCCCCCGCTGTGACATGGCTAGCTGTCCCCTCCAGGTCCTCATCAGCAAGATGGGAGCAGTCACCTCCCCCTGCCTGTCCCTGGAGGGCAGGGACGCAGAGGCGTGGCCTGAGCTGGCTCCCCTCCCCGCTTGGGACGGGGGTTAGCATTGGGGACTCTGCCCTCCCAGCCATCCCTGGAGGGGCCACTTGAGACAGGGTCCCAGGATGGGTTGAGGGAGGGGCAGGGGCACCTGAAGATGCTCCGGTGACCAGGGGTCAAGTCAGCCAAGAAATCCCCCAGCTCCTCGCCTGACCCCCAGGTGATGTGGGTAAGCCATGCTCTGACCCTCAGCTTCCTCTTGGGGACCATACAGGACTGCTGCTGTCATCTCTCTCTGCCTCCCTTTGTCATCTGCGGGTCTTTTCCTGCCCAAATGTGGGGAGAAGAGAGCCAGTAGCCTTATTGAATCCCAGTGCCTCCTCCCAACTTGCTGTGCAGGCTGAGGAAAATGACTAACCCATTCTGAGATTCTCTCACCCATTCTGTAAAGTGATTGGAACGGGTGCTCCCCAGGGGCCACGTACAAAGACTGTGCTTCAAGCTAAATGGGCGCCTTTGAGCCCATCCCTCTTGGGCTTGGTGCAGGTGAAGCTGAGCCCAAAGTTTGTAGATGGGCATTTCATGTCCCTTATATGGAGGGTTTGTTGTTGTTTGCTGGATACCAGGGCGTTTTACCTCTGAGCCTCAGCCCCAGCCCTTTTTATATTTTATTTAGAGACAGAGTCTCACTGAGCTGCTTAAGGCCTCACTAAGTTGCTGAGGCTGGCTTTGAACTCGCGACCCTCCTGCTCAGGCTCCCCAGCTGCTGGGATGACAGGCGTGTGCCACCACACCCAGCTTAAGTAGAGTTTTTAAAGGAGGAAATTTCATATGAAGGAAATAATGGATTTCTGACTCCTCTTAAAGTTTGGAAGTGGCCTTTGTTCCCTCCTGGCCAAAGCGGCTCCACTTCCTTCCCTCCAGCCCTCCAGTCGGTGATTTTCCTCTCTCAGGGTCCCTCCTGGCGCCTGCCAATCATTCGAGTTGGCATCATTAACTGTTCGAATGGAGGCGCTGGAGGCGTCCCCGCTGCGGCCACCAGGGGGCAGTGCAGGCTCGCCGCGCGGAGGGCAGGGAGCAGGTGGTGCCCAGGGGCAGCGCGGGCTGGAGCTGAGAGCCCAGTGCTTGCGACGTTGAGGATGCTGCTCTTGCAGGTGACGGTGTACGAGCTAGAGAACTTCCAGGGCAAGCGATGCGAGCTCTCGGCGGAGTGTCCCAATTTGACCGACAGCCTGCTGGAGAAGGTGGGCTCCATCCAAGTGGAGTCCGGGCCGTAAGTACCTGTCCAGGCCCCGAAAGGCTCCACCTCCCGGGCGCAGGAGCTCAACACCGGCTGCTGCGGGCCCTAGACAGCTCCCCTCCGCTCTGGCCTCGGTTTCCTCATCTGTAGAATGAGAGAGGTTCTTTTAGAAAAAACTTCAAGCTCTCGATTGCCAGGGCAAGTGGCAGGAAAGAGGACAGACTGACTCCATGACCAAATAGTGAATATTCAATTTATATCACTGCAAATAAATAAATGGCTATGACATTTGTAATTTCCTTTTCTTTTTTTGGTACCAGGGGCTCTTTATCACTGAGCCACATCCCCAGCCCTTTTTTTTTTCCATTTTTATTTTGAGACAAGGTCTTGCTAAGTTGCTTAGGGCCTTGCCAAGTTGCTGAGGCTGGCCTCAAACTGGCGATCCTCCTGCCTCAGCCTCCCAAGTTGCTGGGATTACAGGCATGTACTACTACACCCTGGGGATACTTATAATTTCAAATAAAAATATCATCTCAAGTTTGACAAGTATTGCTCTCATCCTATGAGAGAGGTGCCATTCTTATCTCCACAGATGAGGAAACTGAACCCCAGTGATCAGGAGTCCCACCCATGTCTACAAGCAAGTCCAGACGCTGGCACTGACCATCTGAGTGACCCTGGACAGATGCACATCAGATAGATAAATGAAGAGCAGGGGGGAGGGGGAGGGAGGGAGGGAGGAATTCAGGAGCAGAGGAAGAGGGGGGTGCTCTACAGAACACTGGCCACGTGTTGGGTGTCATGCTAAGACTTTCTGAGCACCCTCCTCACAGACTGGACGTCACATGGATTCTAGAAAACAGGTCGTACGATGGTTTCTGGGTCCAGGGTCTCAGATTTATTCAGCATGTCCCGGTCCATCCACAGGAGACCCAAGAATCAGCAGCAGGGCTGGGGCCAGGCAGGGAGCCAGGTCAGAGCCACCCATCCCCCAGATCTGCAGGCCTGGGTCCCCACTCTGCCACCCTGGAGGTGACCCAGGCCCTCCCTCCCCCAGGTGGCTGGCGTTTGAGCGCAGGTCCTTCCAGGGAGAGCAGTTTGTCCTGGAGAAGGGAGACTACCCTCGCTGGGATGCCTGGTCCAATAGCCGCCACAGTGACAGCCTCCTGTCCCTCCGGCCTCTGGAAATCGTGAGCACAAGCCCCGCCCCCACCTGGGTGGTAGCCATGGCCCTGGCCTGGAGGGGCCCCCAAATGTCTGGCCCCATGATAGTGAGACGAGGTTGGCTACTGAGTGGACACTGGATGCAGGGGTGGGGACACCGGGGCTCATCTTGAATTAACCCATGCCGCCCTGGGGTCTCTGTTTGTAACCCTGTTGAAATGAGAGGCCTTGGGGTCCAGGAAACACCCCAGGAGATAACCAGAAATGAACTCTGCGGCACTTCCAGTCCTTCCTGGCTTTCCTCTGATACCCATGTGTGCCCACTCCTGTCCACGGCAGCCCTTCTCCTGCTCCCACGACCCCGTGCTCCTCCTGGGCAGTGCCAGGGGAGGCCAGGGGAGGCCGGGGAGGCCGGGTGAGACCTGGTCCAGCAGGGCGGGGTGGCGCCTGCGTCAACACTGCCCATCCACTGCTGCTGCCCCGGGCCTCAGTTTCCCTCTCTGTCGCCATGGGTGGAATGACAGCTGCTTCCTACCTGTGGCTCTAAGATCCCCCAGGTCCCCGCTGAGTTTCTCCCGCCCTCTCCCTCCTGGGTCAGCTCTGGGGTGGCCGTTGGCTCTCTCCTCCTCCCGGGGCGTCCCCGAGCCCGTCGGGGTGGGGTGGCCAGCTCAGCCCCGCTCTCCCCCAGGACGGCCCCGACCACAAGCTGCACCTGTTCGAGAACCCCGCCTTCAACGGCCGCAAGATGGAGATAGTGGACGACGACGTGCCCAGCCTGTGGGCGCACGGCTTCCAGGACCGCGTGGCCAGCATCCGGGCCATCAACGGGACGTAAGGGACCCGGCGCACCCTTGCCCTGCCCCGTCTCCGCTCTCTGTTCCGCCCAGCAGCGACCTGTGTTCTCCAGGCCGCAGGGGACCATCCTGCTCAGAGTCCCAGTCGGCTGCACCCAGGATGGGGACATCCCGTCGGGTGCTCTCACCACTGGGACCCCAGAAACTTTTTTTTTCCATTGAAATTGGTCCCCTACCTGTCCCCATCGAAACCTCTACTCCTTTTCTGAACATATCCAGGCCTCGAAAGTGATTCTTGGACTGTTCTTTCTTCTTCACAGTCCTTGTCCCCCTGATCCAGGGCGTGAGATGTATGACGAGGTGTGACCTGAGTCCTTCCTAGGAGAGCAGACTGAATCACTTCCCTCCTTCTAGGCTTCATATCACTGTTAATGCAACCTTAAGGCCACATGCCCTCTGTTTGTGGTTAGGTCTCATGGTGGGCCTATGATTTGGGTTGATCCTTCCTGTGAAAATTTACTCAGGGACTTTTTGCTGTGCGAGGTATGGGACACAGGGAACCCTAAGAACTATACGGCCACTGCCCTCAAGAATTTCACAGGCCGACAGGGAGACAGACAAGGAGACCGGTATTCACAGCTGGTTGTGATCAGAGTTGTGGAGGCAGGCATATGGCTCTGGGAGTCCCGGGGAGCTATTCAGTTCAGCCAGGAAGGGCTTTCTAGAGGAAGAAGGAACTAAACGGAGTGTAAGGGGTGCAAATGGAAAGGGGAGGAATAGGGCAAGGTAAGGAAGAGTGTGCCAGGCAGGAGGAACAGCATGTACGAAGGCTCAGCATGTACGGAGGCTCAGCGCACAGTGTGAAGAGGGACGTGGAGAGAGCACCTAGGGGTTTTGCAAGGATCTGGTGAGAGGGTTGGGGTTTAGGCGCATCCCAAGGGCACTGGGGAGCCGAGGAGGAGCTCGGGCGGGTAGCAGGCAGTGGCCGAGGCGGGGCCTGGTGACAGCTGTCCTCAGCCCAGCCTTATCCCTGCAGGTGGGTCGGCTATGAGTTCCCGGGCTACCGCGGGCGCCAGTACGTGCTGGAGCAGGGCGAGTACCGCCACTGGAACGAGTGGGACGCCAACCAGCCGCAGCTGCAGTCTGTGCGCCGCATCCGCGACCAGAAGTGGCACAAGCGGGGCTGCTTCCTCAGCAGCTGAGGGGCACGGTCCCGCGGCCTTGGCCCGCCCTGGGTGGCCTCAGGGCAGGAAGAGGGGGCTCCAGGGTGGGGCGAGGGCCTGCTGTCCGCCTCCCCGAGTCTGCTCAATAAACCCTGGGGTCAGTCCCCCACCTGCCACGTTCCTCTGCCTCGCTTCCTGGGCGAGCCCTAGGGCGGGGCTGGGGGCGGGGCGCGGAGGGAGGGCGGGGCTGGGGGCGGGGCAAGGAGAGGCCGGGGGCGGGGCGAGGAGGGAGGGAGGGGAGGGGGGAGGGGCTGTCTGCACCGCGGGGGGGCTCTCCTGTCTAGGGAGGGACCTGTGTCTCTGCCACCGCGGCATGTCCAGCTGGCAGTGTGTCTCCATCCACCACCCACCCACCTGTCCATCCGTCCATCCGTCATCCTTCCATCCAGTTGTCTGCCCATCTATCTGTCCATCCATCTACTCATCCATCAGTCCAGTTGTCTGTCCATCCTTCCATCCACCCATCCGTTCATCCATCATCCATTATCCTTCCATCCAGTTGTCTGCCCATCTGTCGATCCATCCACTATCCATCTCTCCATCCATCCATCCATCAATTCTGTTGTCTGTCCATCCATCTGTCCATCATTTGTCCATCCATCTGTCCATTCATTCGTCCATCCATTCATCCATGCATCATCCATCCACTTGTCTGTCCATCTGTCCATCCAACCATCCATCCATCTGGTTGTCTGTCTGTCCATCCTTCCTTCCTTCCTTCCTCTCTTCCATATGCTAGAGCTGCTTCCTTCCCTGGGTTCTTCTGTCCTGACTCCCCCACCGTCCATCTGTCCATCCATGGACTCTCCCTTCAGTCCACCCACCTGGTCCTCCTCCTATCCGTCCATCTGTCCGTCATCCAGCAGCCGCCGGCCGCCGCCTGCCTTCCCCTGCTCCTCATTCCCCCGACTCTCTCTGTTGGTCGGGTGACAGTGACGTTATTAATCAGGCAGCACATGCCAGGCCCTGTCCCAGGTCCAAGGACACAGCACAGTGGAGGGCCTCCCTTCTGAGGGAGAGATGCCTACCTCCCAGTGACATTCTTTGAATTCAATGAGATGATGTCTACAAGGCCCTTAGTCCTCAGCAAGCGCTCATTTATGGAGTACAATGAAACTGCTCCTTGTAGAAACAATGAAGGGGACAGAGTGGGAGGCTGCCATCCCCATGGGGGGGTCCACTCCTGCCTTGTTCAGGGGCACCCTGATCCAGCCAAGCCTGAGGCCCATCCTGCTCTCCCACACACAGCAGAGCAAGAAGTCAAGGGGATTCCTTGTGTGTGTGTGTGTGTGTGTGTGTGTGTGAACACAGGTTGGAATGACTACAACCTGCCACATTCTTTTCAAAGCCTTCCCAAGGCCCCCAGGGCCTCCCACACCCCAGCTGCTTCAGCTGCTCCTGGGGAGGCGGAGCCAGGCTCTGGCACACAGGAGCAGCCCAGGAAGCCTGCAGGGTGGGCAGCGGCCCTGAGCAAGCCTGCGGCAAGGTGGCTAAGGCTGACCGTCAGCAGGAGCCCCTCTTCCCACGCCGGGCAGGGAGGGCCCGTCATGTCTGGCTCCTCACAGGCTCCCCACACGACTCCGGTCACCCCCATGAGCCCCAGAGAGTGGGAGGAGCAGGCAGTGGAGGGAGTAGAGGGCTGCGTCCCCAGGTGGCTCTGCACAACTCACAGGGCAACGGGGGTCGGGGTGTGGGGTGGCCTCCCTGTCCTCACTGATCCTTCAGGGCACACTCCACAACTCAGCCCGAGCCATCGTGTCCAGCCCCAAGGCAGACAGAGCCTCAGTGGCGGGTAGGCCCATTTCACAGACAGGCCAACCACGGTCCAGAGAGGCAGGATTCCTTTCCAAGGCCACACAGAAAAGAAGTGGAAGGGATGAGACTCCACCCCTGGGTACTGATTCTAGAACATTCCTTCCTGAGCCTCACACACTCACATATCCACCAGGGACAGGGAGCCACCAGGAAGTAGGGTGGGAAAGAAAATGTCCAGGTGGACACTGGGCCAGTTCTGTCTGCGGGCACCTGGCATGACTGCTGGGGACATTCCCCTGTGCCTGGGGACACTCACACCCCCTGGGAGGGGACTCCATCTCCTAATGGGAGCTGGTAGATAAATGCCTCAGATCCCCGGACCACAGATGGAACCTTCCAGGGCTTCGTCACCATCATGGAAAGTCATGGCACCCGTGGCAGTGTGGTCTGTGGTATTTGCAGCATCAAAAAAAAATCACTCCTGGCCCCTTTTGCACATGTATCTGTATTATGTTCCAGATGCTTCTATATCCCAGTAACTCAGGAGGCTGAGGCAGGAGGATTGCAAGTTGGAGGTCAACCCAGCAACTTAGCAAGGCTCTGAGCGACTTAGCAAGACCCTGTCTCAAGATAAAAAAATAAAAGGGGATGTGGCTCAGTGGTCAGGCAACCCTGGGTTCAGTTCCCAGCACCAACCAACCAACCAACCAACAAAAACCTGCTCACTGAGGTGAATGAACATCTTGAACATACATTGACTTCCTAGCCCAATGTATCCATGATAATTCTCCTGTCTTAGATCACCTGGCACAGCTGTGTCAAAGCCTTTATATATTGAAGCATATTGTTACAGATTGAATTGTATTATACTTTTCTACTATAGTTACAGTTGTGACAGCTTTTCATTAATCTTTTTGGGGGAAGCTTGTATGTAGGTAGGTTGTATTATCAATTTTATTTCAAGAGAATAAGAGGCTGTTACAAAAAATTATCAGAAGTATGGAGCAGAAAACTGCTCTCAGCTTATCTTGGGGGTGTCTTCCGCCTCTGACTCCTTCGTATCTAAGGACCAAATTGAGTTTTTCCAAGGAGGACACTGAGGTGAGCTCTCTCCATGGGAACAGGAAGGTGGAGAGGAGGGTCCAAGCCCTTCCTTCCCATGTATCGGTCAAGCTGTGCTGCATAACAAACAGCCCCCTTGTCTTGGTGGCTTAAAACAACAAAGGTGTTTTTCTCCCTGATGCTGCATGTCCACTGCTGGCCAGCAGGGGGGCTCTGCTCCACACGGTCACTCAGGGGTCCAGGCTGATGGAGACTCTGCTGTCTCACAAGGCTGCCGACACGGGACAATGGAAGAGGAGAGTCCACTGCAAAGTCTGCTCCGGCAGTAGAATGATTTCCACCGGAAATGTTGTCAGCCACGTTTATCAGCTACACGGGACCTCCCTGCTAATCCAGGAAGACCCAGCGGTGACCCTCCTGTGAATACGCCCTGTACCGGCTCCTCCCCTTCCCTGCCCCTCGTCCCTCTCCACGTCCTTGTGCTCCCTGGACTTCCAAATAAATGGCCCCCTCTTCCCTCTGTCTGAGGGACTGCCTCCCGTGGGGCCTGGACAAGACAGCCTCATTTTTGCCATTTCTCCCCAACTCGTGGGTCCCAGCCAACGGTCATCTTGCAGCCCACCCAGGGGTAGCAGCCTGGGATCGCCGAAGAGCTGCAGTTACCCAGCGTCTCCTGTGGTTGGGACCCAGCTACGGGTGTCACAGGGTGGGTCACTTTAAAAGGGGGAGGGCGCTCGCTAGCCATGGACTCAAGAAACTAGATCATGACACAGGTGCAGGCCAAGGAAACATCAACTGCAGGTGAGGAAACTGAGGAGGAACAAGGGAGTTGTGTGGACTGAAGCCCTGGGATCTGCAAATCCTGAGCTCCTGGTTCAAATCCCAGCCTTGCCACTTCCTGGCTGTGTGACTTTGGGGAAGTTTCATTCCCTCTCTGAGTTTATTCACCTCAAAAATAGGGATAATAATTGACTGCCCCCACCCAGCATGCTTTACCCTGCCAGTCATGGGAACTCTGACTGTCCTAGATGAGAAAAATGTGAGGTGCTGGGGAAAGGACCTCATTTCTGACAGGAAGACAGACTTGGAGAAGAGGGCTTGACCACAATCCTCAGGGCGTAGAGAGAAGCATCAGAGCGTAAAGATGAAGAGCATTTTACTCGAAGTCAGACTGAGATGAGCTCAGGTTCTGGCTGTGTGATCTCAGACAAGTTTCTTAATTTCTCTGAGCCTCAACTTCCTTATTTGTAACAGGGGATACTACTCATGCTTATCTCAAAGATGATTGTGAGAATTTAATGCAGCGAGACCCTCTGGGAAAGGACCCTCTGGGAAACCTAGGAGACAGGCAGTCCACAAAGCCCAGCTCTATTACTTACTGGCTGTGCAGTCTTGGGCAAGTCCCATAACCTCTCTGAGCCTCCAATCTCAATAAAATGGGGTGATCAATAAATGCAACACTTACCTGTTGGGCTGGGAGGATAAAAGAAATAAGTCCAGACAGCGCCTGACTTGGCACCCGACTCTTTAGGCTCTCACACTCCCTAAATGTTAGGAATTCTTTCTTATTTTTTAGGATTCTGCAAATTCTTGAGACTATCTCTTTGTTCAGCAAATATGGCTGGATCCCTGTCGTGGTCTGAACTGTGAGTCAGGAAGATGCGATGAAACCTGAACCCCATGCCCCAGACTGGGACCTCGCTTAGAAATGGGGTCTTTGAATTGTAATGCATTCTGCTGCATTCAATAAAAATCAAAAATTAAAAAATGAAAGAGAACAGGCCTTAGGAACGATGTGCGGACCCCTCCTTGGGAGCAGCACTTGCTTGGGTGACCTAAAGAGCAGCTTCCCAACCCCCTGTGTTTGTAGTCCAGTGAGGGGGACTTCTGCACACAGTTGCTGGGGACTGTCACAGAGCCCTGGCAAGGGTCGAAGTCCTCCTGGGAAGATGGCCACCACAGGAGAGCCATGTCACCCCTGGAAGTCTGGCCTTCAGGAGGATTCAGGCTAAACTGTCCTTGGAACCTGAGATGAAAAAAGTGGGTCCTTCCCTTTTCCGTCAGGAGGTGGACTTAGCCTCCGTGGGACCAAGGGACCCTGCGGTGAGTGGGTTCACGGTGTTTCCTGCCAACCGTGTGGCACAGAGCTCGTTCCAGACAGACG